GTTTAAGACTTAAAGCTTAAGTTTAAGACTTAGGTAATGGCTTATTAAAACCTCTAAGAATCGACTACGAGCGCCAGCTATAGAACTCTATTTGCCTCGTCGTCGCGTCGTCGCATCGCCAGCCGCATGGATCAGTCACGAAAAGTGGAATCCAGCGAACACCCTCTTCGCCTCCTCGAGTGGCTTTTTTTCTTTTTTTAGAGGAATTTGTCATTCCACGAGCGTTCGCGCGGGGATATAAATACACGGTGGCAGGGCGGTCGTGCGTGCTTGCTTTCCTCGGAAAGCGTCCGCGCGAAGTGGCGGCCGAGCCGGACGCCACTCTCCGCGTCTCTTAATCCGATTTGCGCTATTTGCGAAATGTATGTATGATGGCCGATGTATCTCACGCGTTTTCCAAGAACACCGATTTCCGGAGGAAAACTTGTCTTTCGTTTCGTAATCCGTCTTTCAGTGACATATCTCTTGCACGGTCGACGTGTGACGACGACACGGCGCCTCGACTGCGGTAGAGATCTTTAAGTAATCTCTAAGTAAGAAATTGGACACCGTTTAGGCAAGACTTCTGATTGTTCGCCATATATTTCACCTGCTTAACTTTTCGCACACTGTATCTTTTGCGAACCCAGAAGAAAACTCTCGTATTTCTTGGCACAAACTCCAATCTGTATTAAATAAAGGTTTCAACATTTTGAATTGAATAATTATTGGCAATGTAACAGGAATGTTGAAAAGTAAGCCTGAATTTTTCTAGACTTTTTTGAACGCCTAGAACAGTAAAAAAATTTGAGCTGAATAAAAAAGGTCTTGCTAATTTGTTTCTTATCTCTTTCCAATTCTAAAATTGGAAGGGAATAATGAATAAGTTGAACCTCGATTAAGAGTTAAGAAAGTGAGTTGTGAAACTGGGGCTCAGAGTGCCTACGGAGTAGATAAGTAAAAATATCTGTTCTCATGTATAATCCATCTTATTCTATCTTAAGCAGCAGGCCAGGAAAAATATGACGGATCAAACGTATGGTGTTCAGTTTGTTACTTGAGGATCTTTAAACCGCGGGAAGCGTCGCGACCGAATAAGTTCGATAAAATTGTATGTTCTTGATACACGCGACGGCCGAGCCTCTTATCACATAGGCTTAAGTTCACGAAAGATGTGGTATTACGTCAATTGACTCGTGGGCTTTGAAAACAGAAACGTAATACGACGTCGTCGGTCACGAAAGTGTCAATAAATTTGACGATAATAAAACTTAATTACAAGAGTACACACAGAGCCTTCCTTATAATTGTCTTATCAACGCTCCCCCTACTCGCTACCGCGCGTTACGTACATGCAACCGATCGTTTATGAGAATCGTTATACGATAATAAGAAGTAAGTACTACAACATTGAATTTGCATCGCAATCGGTCTAAAAATTATTGGCATGATCCAACAAAGAGAATAATCTTTTTTTAATAAATAATTAAGCAGATATAAATAATTAAGCAAAGATAATTTTTCGTTTAATTTTTCGCCTTTTCACCGAGAAGAAAAAATCATTTGACTAAATTAATTCAATTCGTTTCTTTATTTTTTTTGTTGAATAATGTTATGTATTTAAATCAAATGTGTGTGTGTGTGTGTGTGTGTGTGTGTGTGTGTGTGTGTGTTTAACTTAAATACACACATAAACAATTTTACTTCTCAATATTTTAAGATGTTGAAATATTTTGAAGTGTATTAAATTTAAGTACCGGTAAATGTTAAGTACCTGTTTAGTTAAAGCGATTAATCCAAGTCTTGAAATGCCAGTAATTTTCCAAAACTTTTAAAAACATTAACAATTAACTGTTAAAGCTGAAACTAGTTTTCAGCAAACGCATTATATTTTTGGATTCAAAAATCGCAACGCGTACGATTCGCAGATTTCTCGCTTTTCGTATTGCGACGCGATCGATCGATCGATGCGCGAACAATACGCGAATACGAGTAACAGACGAATCGTAATCGCGGTACGACGCGATTAAAACGAAGACTCGACTCTCTATTAATTTTCTTTATTATTCTGCAAATATTATTTTGCCCTACGGCTTAGCGAACAGAGCACGGATAAAACCGATCGCGAGAGTAGAACGCGAGAACGATGTGTGAAGTGGCGGCGATCGATTTATCGGCGTGATAAAGTTCCTCTACACGATATCGTTCCTCGATTTCGCCTAGCTTCTGAACTCCGCAGATACGAGACTTCGGTGTTGTTTTCACGACGGCGGGATATCGATCGCCTCTCTTTCTTTTTCTTTTTACATGATTGCCGCTGAATTCCATCGCGAGCACGGAAAAATTGCCGCGCCGAGGCTCATTGCACGGCTGAAGGTGCGCACACCGAGAAACGCGCGGCCGCGATCTTTTTCTCAGTACAAACCATAAATGCGAAACTCGTCAAAAGATACTTCCTATCGGTATCAGTTCCGGACCGGTTCTACTTTGTGACACATATTCCGGTATGCCGCAACATGATGGTGTACCTGTTTTATCGTCGTGGGCGGAACGACCGCGATCGTAATGCGGATGTTCAAGGTGCGCAGCACGAAAAAAACGAGAAATATGTTCTGGAATAAATTTTCATTTCACGTCCCATTCTCTACAAACTTTACAAACATTTTCCATTAAGAGATTAATCTGGGTTATACTCTCATTGTCATACGAATGAAACTTTTCTAATGAAAGATTAACATGGATTATATTTTTGACAAATAAATCTTCTTGATTAAGAGATTAATGTGGATTATAAGAGCAAATGATTTCTTGAAACATTTTTCAAACTTTTTTGCATTCATATCAAATTATTGAAAAATTGATTCTCAAAGAATCGTTCTCGTGGCGTATTTAATTTTCCTAGGAATTGGAGATTGAATTAAGAAATATTATAATACGGTTATGTGAAAGTGGTTTGGTTCTTATAATATTGCACAGTATTTTTTACTATTAGCGTACCTAATAGAAAAAATATATTGTTTTATGTTAATAGAAATATTTCCTTTCTTTTTGTAAAGTTATTATTATGCAGGGATAGAAAAAAACAAAGATTTGGTGTTTGAAAAAAATAACGATGAATTTTCTTGTTACACTCACGTCGATAATAACGTGTTGTAGAGTCATTTGCATGCTTATGGAAATGTTTCCTATCGCGACGTGTTATGCAATGCACATTATGAATAATTTATTTTGTGATCAATGATTTTGAACTTGTTTTTTTGCACAAAATTCATTTATTCTTTTTGTATATTATTTTTTATCGATAGATTTTTTTTAGCAAATTCGGAATGTTTTTTTTTTTTAGTGAAAATATGAACAGTTATTATATTATTCGTTACAGCTTTCTAATCTTTAGCATCATACATATTATATGTAACTTAAATAGAAAGTTGTAGTTATAATTTTGTTATAATTGTAATTGATATAATCATAATTTCAATAAGATTCTCTAAATTAGAATTCCATTTTTATTTCAATATTTGAAATTAGTTGAAAAATATAAATAAAAATTTAATAAATATTTAAAAAAATTTTAAAACATTTAAAAAATTTAATAAACGTAATGTTCATTAAAAATTATTTATTAAATATCTATATTTAATGATTGTTAATATATGATAAATATATAAGTTTTAATGACGAAAATACATTTTGAAATAATTAAAATATATTTTTTAAATTTTTTTAGAAGAAATTCTTTTAAATTTTAATCTATATATAAAATAATTTCTATGGATATATTTATTTCTCTAAGAAAAAAGATTGAAAATAGTTCTTGCGGATCAGAATAGACAATATATTAACGATTACGTACGTCAATTGAAAGTTTATTAACTACAGTTATTATTAAATTCTGTTATTTCTTCTATAATATTCATGTCTACAAAAATTGCTAAAAATAAAAAATTTACTAAATCTTTATCGGAAATGTTTCGGATTTTTAAATATATGATATAATGGAGCTAAAGAGAAAAGATGAAAATAAAAATCTGATTTCATTGCAGTTTTTTTTATAAAAAAAAATATATTCTTTGAATTTAAAAGAATATAAATCCAATAAATAAAAAGTATAAATATTGTTATCATTTTAAGAAGAAATATTTGAAAATGTTGAGAGATCGGGAATTAGGTCTTTAGGAGATTAAGAGGCTTTATGCTGAATAATTTATATTTTTATCACTATTTTCTATAAGGATAGCAAGTGAGATTTCCAATAATATTTCAACAAAGAAAGGAAATAAACAAAACAAATAATTATAGATTTTATATATATAAACAGTTTATACTGATAATAGTTGTCATTTTTATCAACATAAATACAATATATTGCAGCTATTTTTCCCAGAAGCTTCACATTTTCTGAACTCCGAATATTTTTTTAAAAATTTCGATCTTTGAAGCTTTCGGAACATTGGAATACTCAATCTGTAATTATATACATATCTCGAGATTTCTCATATGCAGATATTGATCGTCGCAAGACTGTGTTTACATTATCGCCGCGATACGTGATGAAATATAATAACGACTTATTAGAAGGACACCATTCTCCACGTGTCACGAATTTGCTCGTGTATTTTCTTCCCCCTACATTCCTCGTGTGTTTCCTAGACTGGTAGTCAGTTGCGTCCTAGCTCGAATACGGTTCACAAGCAACGACTGTCTTCTCTCTTCCCGTTAATTTTTGTCAGTGTAACGAACTCAATAATTACAACATTGTTATTTCAATATTCAGTGATCCAATTTCTAAAATATATATAATATATATATATATATATATATATACATATTAATTAAAAAATTAAATAAAAAATTTTTTTCATTACGAACAAAAATATTTTATATTTGTAGAAGATTTATTTTTTTATTTTTTAAGAGAATTTTTAAATTAATTTCTTTAATATGTTGTTGATAATAGTTATATGTAGTAATGTTTTGTATGATTTTAAGATTTATTTTCATTGAATTTATTTATTTTTCAGTGACGGAAGTGCAAAATGCCTTCAATCGATACCCGATCGATAAGAGTGCCTGGAGAAATGGATCGATATTTATCTCACAGACGAGACGCTACGTCGAGACATGCTGGATGCCGATCTATGCTGGATATGTCTAATACATTGAAGTCGTCCCCCGTCGCTTGTCACAGTTTTGCAACATGCTGCGACGTATTTAATGCCTCTAATGACGTCCTGTTTAAAAAGGATCCCGTCACAACGTTAGAAAACGAGCCCAATAGTGCGGCTCACCTGTCACAAGACACTTCATTATCTTACAATGCCCGTTCAACTGATCTGTACTTGACGCAAAAAGAATTTGCTTGTCCCGCTGCCCCTTGTAATCATAGACGTGATACAAGTATAATGAATCACCAAAATCGTCATAGTTCTACGCAAAAGAGGGACACGATGAGATATTCTCATACAGTGGATGCTCTATCGATAACGAGATACATTCTCGTATTCATCAATCAAATGTTAGGATTAATAATCACCAATTGGATAACGAATTCTTCATGGAGGAGATGGCGAACCTATTTTACTTTCTTAATTTGCCTACTTTGTGTGATGCAGTGTTCAGCTCGCACTTGCTCAGTTGGATTAAGTACACCGGGATGTAAGTTTCGTCCAAATATATCTTTGCATATAAGTACAATCAAATTTACTCGTAAAACACTCTCAAATTTGATATTAACGATTAGTGAATTAGCTGTTTAAATTGATATTTAAATTGGCGTGTTTTTGTTTTCGTTATTATACATTCATACTGCATAGGCTGCATTTCATTTGCTGCTCACAGCGCTCTTGGAGTTTCATCCTTGTTGTTTTTCAAAGACAAAGTGATGCTCATAAGCGCTGTGAGCGTCAAATGGAATGCACCCGTGATGCACATTTCGAGACATATGTATATTCGAATGTAAGTGTTTATAAAACAGAAATAAAAGCCGTTGTCTTCTATTTGTTTCGCATGCGTACCACTGGTGCGCTAAGATTATAAATAAAACATATGTCTTATCTCTCCTTTTGGAATTCTGTTGGGCTAAATGTATATATCTATATTTAATACTCGAGCTGTACAGTTCACATCGAAATTATCAACCCCGTTGAAGTTTATTCTGATGATGTATTTTCATTTTATAACGTTTATGATGCACAAACTTATATAGTATATATAAATTTTGGTTTAATTATTTTATTTACTTATAAAGTGTTTGCTTATATTCTCATTAATCTATGAATTTTTATAATTGAAGTATCTTGTATTCTCTATCTCAAATAACAAGACTATCTTATTCTTAATTCTATTTGTAGGGACCTGGCCACAAGGTGATATTGTTATTCAACATGGTAAACCACTTCAAATGTTCTGTTTGTTGAATCAGACGATCATGGAACTTGACTATCCTAATAAAGATGCGGGAGATCTTCGATTCTTCCGTAATGATCAAGAATTAGAGTCGGAATTTGTTACGGTAATTAATGAAACTACGATAGAGCTATCCATCAAAACGCCACCGCCCTCCGACGACATGTACAATTGCAAGTTACGAATGAAAGACAACGACTATATAGCAGTTTGTCTCAATAAAGTTGTAGTTGGATGTAAGTAATCATACTTATTTTAATTATCTATGTATGTCTTCTATCTATGTATTAAATTATCGAATCTTTAGATCGGCTTTTGAGAACTATTAAGAAAGAGACAACTTCTTGCGAAAAAATAAGTTGAAATAAACAAAATAAAATTTTTCCATACAAAATCTTATGAAATAAATTTTTTTCTACATTTTCGTCTTATTTTTCAACTCTTCAGTTGTACTATCAGTTCTGAGATATCCGATGTACGTGCTATTCTATTAAAGAAGATACTTTTTGTAATTTGAAGAATTTGGGTATCGAAAAACATATACATCTTATTTTTTATAATCGTCGTACGTATTTGAAATATATAGCTATCTACATATCCAATAGAAGTGTACATTTATCCTTATCAGTATGACCCGACGTTTTGCGGAGACAGTACAGTGCATTGATTCTCTTTTTATTAGTTATGAGTAAATCGTTTGACATGCGTCTTAGAAATCGTTTTATCATTGACAATAAAGATAACTAGAAAACAGATACTATATAATATTAAGAGTTAGTCAAGTCACTTCTTCTCTCGTAGAAATTTACTCATTTGAAGAATTAATATTTAAGTTAAATTTTTACAATAAATTATACATTTATGTAACATATTTATATCTATTTAATAAATTTTAATTTTAATATGATACATATAAAATGTCCGTAATGTCTTAAAAACGATAGAAATTGAAATTTTACATGTACTGATGTAACTAGGATTAAAGGTGATATATAATGTTTATAAATATAATTTCTGATATCTTTTATCAATTACTTAGCGAATATCAAAAACTATATTTGAAAATTATGTATTTTAAAAACTAATATGTTTCTTTCTTATGTGAAATGTTTTATTTTATTTTACTTGTTTTGTTTCACGACAGATCCACCTCAAAAACCCAAACATTTTGATTGTGTCTCCTATAATTGGGAAAGCTTTAATTGCACATGGGAGCCAGAACACAATTTCGTCAGTACAAAGTACGATTTAATGTTTCAATTACCTGGAAGATTAGGAGCAATGTATTATTGTCCGCTTCCGACGACGACAGAGAATTCATGCACGTGGGATATATATTCCGATCCAATATATAGGCAACCATATGCATTTTATATTTTCATACTGAAAGTATCTAATCCTTTTGGGGAACTCAATTTTACATATCGTGTTCAACATTATCCTAATGGTATGTAAATCTTATATATGGATTATTATTTATTCCCATGTAAAAATCTTTTGCAATGAGAAATGTACAGTTATCGAATATGCTGTATATTTAATATTTAAGAATATTATTGTTTTCAGTTATTCCGGCTAAACCTTACAACCTTACCTTAATAAACAAAACATCGGAAAGTGCACTGTTGCATTGGGAACTTCCCTTCCCGATGGCAACATTTCCAGTTGGTGTTCATCACAAAATTATGTATCAACATCAATGGGATCATGAAAAAGATTGGAAGGTATAATCATATTGATTCAAGTAATTTTTTACTTTATTAGATAATTTATTGATATCACAATTGAAAGAATTATCAATTCTGTGATAAATAAAATAACAATCTTGATCAAACTTATTTTCCCTTTGTCTGTAGGTTATCAATATTACGCATCCTAAGAATAGAGAGCAGTGGCTTTACAATCTTACCGGATTAGAATACGCTAATACAGTATATGATGTTCGTATTTATTTAAAAAGCTCGACAGCTGTAAGACCGGATAGATGGAGTGAATTTAGTGTTGTTACATTCAGGACGTCACCAAAATGTAAGTAAATTTCTGAATTATGAAGAGAATCTGTTGTCTTTACGTTTATTTTTATTATTTATTTGATTATAACTATAATTGAAATAATGACATATTGAAAATTTGGCTATGACTAATTAACAGATAACATCTATCTGTTTCTATTAAATTTTCTCTGATTTAACTTTAGTGCCTAGTGCTGCACCGCGAACTGATATCGGTAGCTTTGAAATTGCTGAAAATAATGGAAACAGAGACGTATACTTGTACTGGCAAGCGATACCGCAAAATCAAGAAAACGGCGATAATTTTAAGTATCAAATCATCCACGTGGAGGAAAATGGCCAGAAAGTTGCACTTACACCAAGTGAAACGACTAGGACATATGCCAAATTGAAGGGAATCGCCCTCAATAGTTATCTATTCGAGATCATCTCAACGAACGAGGTCGGAGCTAACAACAGTCGTGCGAGAATATACGTACCAAATCAGAAAGAAAGTGAGTATAAGAAGATAGATGTGTCAAGGAAGGACAGAAAGATTCAAGTATATCTAACAATTTGATATTATTTTATTCTTAGTTCCACATGAACCAATAGCGTTCACGAAAATCGCTTTTGAAAATGGATTGTATGAATTATCTTGGAAGCCACCATTCGAAGATCGTAACATCAAGAATTACACAATCTTTTGGTGCGACAACGAGCGTGATCGTCCTTATCAGTGTACCGTATGTATCAATACTTTTTTTCACATTATTCAAAGAATATTTTTTTCACATAACAAATTAAAGTGTATTTCACATAAAAGTTTGGACACGCAGTGTTAAAATGATATGTTTGCAGGGTTATTTGGACTGGGTACATGTTCCTAAAAATACTATGATCTACAACATAACTGTACCGAATCCGTCCAAGGTATATCAATTTGCAATCTCCGTCAATACTGAGAGAGGTAGCAGCGGCATGATATGGTCATCATGCACGGTAATTCATAACAAGGTGCTTGGCAAAATGAAGTCTGTTTGGATTAATCGCATTGGATCGCATTTTATCGAAGTCGGTTGGAAGCTTGATTGCTCGGATCGCATCGGGATAATTGAAGGATTCAACATCTATTACTGTCCCATAGTATCACCAATGAATGTCAACTGTAACGGTCCTATGTTTAATAGTACCATTAAGGCGGACGCACATACGATACATGGTGTTGTCGATAATCTGGGTGAGGGTCTACGTAGTGATCCCTTGTATAATACCACGCTGGAAGCTGCGCCCAGCACACCACCGTTAAATGTTAGGATCACTGACTTGTCTAACACGACGATGTTTGTCGCATGGAAAAAGCCGTCGGCGATGAACGGTGTGCTCAGATATTATGAAGTCTACTACAATGATCAAGTCATTAGAGTGGATGATAAAGATCACATTAAACTGACGGGTTTGAAGCCGTACACAAGATATTTTATTAGAGTCTCCGCTTGTACCGTCCAGTGCAGTGAAAAGTCATCGATAATAAATGAGTCCACAAAAATCGGCGTGCCTGGCAAAATCAATATTCCTTTAGTACGCTTTGTAAACTCCAGTCAAGTGATCATTCAATGGGAGCCACCGCAAGAACCAGCTGGTCCATTAGAGCACATGTATTACGAAATAGAATACGGAAATGGCATGATCCAGAATGTCACGAGAACAGGTGAGATTGTCTTTAATGGGAAAATTGAATTTCTTTCCTTTAACAGAATTTGAGAGAATTTCTGACAAAGTTAAATTAAATATACTATAATAAAGAAATATTCTTTTCAAATATAATTCGATTCATTTCTTGAATTATTCTATTTTTCTATTCTATTCATTTCCATTTGAATGATATAATGATAAATGTAAAATAGTGATAGTTGTGTGAAAAGAGAAGTGAAGAGAGAGAGAGAGAGAGAGAGAGAGAGAGAGAGAGAGAGAGAGAGAGAGAGAGGATATAAAAATGAAGATTATAGAAAGAATAACACGAAAGCTTAATTTTAATACTATTTGTTTTTATTGCAGAAGTGCAATTGCCCATTCCCGACTGCAAAAACGTCGAGCATCGAGAGCAGAAGCACAAGTTCCGGGTTAGAGCTGTTAACACCAATCTTAACGGCGACCTTTTGAAAGGATTCTGGTCCGATTTTGGGGAGGGAAATTGTTATAATAATGGTATTAAAATTTATTATTATTGTTACTGGGAGTAAATATATTGTGGCTAATTTTATTAAAAATGGACACGTTTACTTTTTTATAAAATTAAGCACATTTGTTGTGATTTATATATACACGTACATGCTAATATTTGTAAGTATAAATGACGACATTTAAACGTTGAAAACATTTATTGTTGAACTTTTAAAATCTTTTTATAATGAGAAAAATGATAATGATAACTATAGTTTTTTTTTTAGATGTAAATGACATAATTGGTTCATACAGTACTCACAAGATCAAGTCGGGTTCTTTCTTCATCTGTTTTTTATTGTTTCAAAAAACATGTTTCTTATAATCTTCAGTATAGTATTAATTTTTTTTCTATTATTATGTGACTTTGATAAATGCAATAGTATCACACATACACGTTTGACGCGGATATTATTAAGTAACTCATTCTGATTAGCGAATGTATATTTCTCATGCAACAGGTTTATCGTCCGTTGCACTGGTTATTATATGGATAGTTGGCGTCGTTAGTTTCGTAGCATGCATCGTGTGCTTCGTGTACATGTTTAAGAGGTAAAGATACTTCTATTTTTTAGCCATTCTCTATGCAAATATAATAATTTACATAAAACCATTCTTTCCACAAGAAAAGAATTTCCATTTAATTACAAATATTCTAGTTATACTCTTCAAGACGTTTTATACTATTTTTCTTACAGAATGTGGATCAAATGTCGAGCTATGCGAGATGTCGAAGTAAAATTACCACCTGGACTTGCACCGCCAGATGCTCCAGATACGGTGAGATATCTCTTTCATGTCTTTTTACATTTTGTGATTATTTATTGAAGCAAATATGACATAACTACAACAATACAGTACGCTAACATAAGCTCTATTTTGTTTGCGCAGCAACCGCTTAAGAAAAGTGAACCACACATAAGGCAGCCGTCCGCCGATTCGAGCGGTTGTTCGAGTGGCCAAGAGTCCGTTACGTCATCACTTACGGCGGAATCTCAGGTTTGCAGTGATAGTGGCACTGAGGTGGATGCAATGCATACGCCGTCCGACAAACTGAAGAGTCAGCCTGTCCGTGAATTGACACTGCGACAAAGAAGTACTACACGTGTACCGGCCTCGTTATTATCAGATGTCACGCCCTGCTGGGAATCATATGTCAAAGTTGGCAATTCTGGTGAGCCGACTTCTGAAGAGACTATATCGTTAGCGCGGTCCACGCCTAATTTAACAGATAACACGATGTCGAAGAGTTACTCGCCTTCGCAACACGCTTGGTCTAGCGCAAACTATATTAGCATGCCGTCCTCTTCGGAGATGTTATTAAGTAATCCGAGCCTTATACCACGGAAGAACACCAACAGTGACGATGACGACAGCAGCAAAGACAGTGACGACAACAATGACGGTAATCATGGCAGTGATAGCAACAATGATAGCGGCGACGACAGTGGTGATGCTTTGATATCGATCAAATTTGAAGATGAATTTGAAAAGGAGAAGCAGAAACAAACTATCGACGAACTGGACAAAATGCGATCGATCATCGAGTTGAACAAGAAGCTTTTGGCATCTCACATTAATCCCGAGAAGACGACGATGGCGACACCATACGTTCAAGCAGGATTAATAGACGAAATACCTGAATCGCCTTCTAGTATACCTAAACATATACAAGCGAGGAACAGTAATTTGATGTGTGGCACCTTCAAAGTCAAAGATAATCAGAATTTGTGTAAAAAAGAGTATATGTCATTTCCGCCGACCTTCCCCGCCAATACCGGTTTGACTTTAGCGAGTCCAAAATATATCTTTGCATCGATAATTCCTGAAGGGATGATAATTCCTGAGCGGATGCCGGTTATAGAAGCGGATCAAGAATCTTTACAGCAAAAAACGTTCCACGATCCGCACAATTCTACAACGAGTGGAACTTCGTACAATCTTACGACCTCCGCGCACGAAACACAACCGCAGGAGCAACAAGAGAAAACGGAACCACTCGCGAACGTGACGGAGGATGATGAAGGTAACAACAAAGACAACACTGTGTATCCCACTTCGTCTTGGCCAACGACAGAGGGAAAAGACTTGAACTCTAGTTATATCACTATCGCGAATTTGTCACCTCCCTCAGCAGGACCGTCGTATGTGCGACTCGAGAAGATGCCACCGTCACTGCCGCAGGCAGCAACAAGTCAGTCGGACGAACAGTACGCAGAGGTGACGGTTGTGCCAAGTACAGTTCAGTGAGGTGAGGAGAGAGATGCACCATCATCTCGTTTTTCTCCTATTTTTCGCGATGGTGTTCATTGCCATCTTCGTAGACGGACAAAGTAAGTGCTACACTGTAAGATTGTGGTATATACAGCGGTGCATGCAAGAAACTGAGATGTTATACGTTTGAATGTAATTGCGACACTTACACGCGAATCGAACTGAGCAGCGATCTTTTACAACCTGGAGAAAGGGGGGAATGAAGTTCGCTTATTAAAATACGAAGAGATTTAAGAAACTTTCCTTATGAAAAGGAATATTTCATACTTGCTTCGAAAATAAGACTGGGTCTGAGCAAAAAGGAAGATCATTGGCTTGAGGTAAATAAATCATTGCAAATTCATTTCTTATTAAACGAACTCTCCAGTGAGTTCTTACGTTTAAAGACGCTTCCTTAAATGACTATTACCGAGAAAAAGTTTTATGCATATAGCATCGGTACAAAAAATAATAGAATATACAGGAAGCGACTCGCAGAGTCTTTAAGGAAATGTCTTAAGACATTTTTTATTCCTCCGCCCAAGCTGATGTCTTCTTGTTTGATTATGCGCGATATCGCTATCTGGCGCGATATGCAAATGTATGCGGCACGATACGTTCGAGCGACGAGAATGTCAGATTGACGTTCTCGTTCACCAAAGTATGTACCAGTACTGCGTTACTTTTTTTATATTATATGCGTAATTTCGACGCGATTAGTTAAAATAAGTTAAAATAAGTAAATAGAGTATACAAATATGTTATATATATTTAGATATATGTATAACGGGCATATATATGTATACATATATATGGCTAGATTGACGGACAGCCTATTGCTGTCGAAAAATTAAATTAAGTCCACTTCAGACGATCTATGATACAGAATCAGGCGCAAGGGCATAGGGCTTCTCCCCTCCAAGGAATCCGATACTTTAGGAAATTCGCACTTCCATTTTGCGCGTTTGTTTAACAAATTAATGATGTTTTCGAATGATTTATGATCATGCGCGATACGTTTTGTTACAATCGTTACAAAGTTCCAAGAAAAGTACGTTATTCTTCCTTTTCTTGCGGAAAAGCAAATATATATATATATATATATATACAGCATGAAAGAGTGATAAATGAAATTTTTGTACAAAGTGATTATTTCTTGGAATTTCCAATGATGTCTCTTAATAGATATAATTCGGTTTAACGAAATAATTTAACCGAATTACGACTATTGTGAGTCTAATTGAAATTTTTTTAAATGTAAAATTTAATATATAATCTCATTTTTTCCCCAGAAGATATAGAGTATAAGTAGAATTTACACAGATAAAATGTTTCAAAATATTATACACTTTACACAATTTCCTCCTCTACGCTCTTGGATCCGTCAAAATTAAATATAGCGTTATATTTATAATGTTATATAATGTAATATGAAAATATTGAAGAATCACAATGTACATACTAAGAAAAAGATTAAAAAAACATGTACATGCCTAAATTCATTGAAATATACGGCAAAAAAATGATATATCGAAGACGCCAGATTTTTACTCTACATTATAGATCGTCTATAGCTGGTTTTAGTTAGGCATTTTTTCACAGCACAATTTTTCGCTAAATTCTCGTTTAATTGTGAGAAAAATTTTTTTGCCATTTTTGCAGGGATAAGCCAACTTTTTTAGAACTACATTTTCTAGATTTCTTTATTAATGACACAGACATATCCTAATTTAATCTTTAGTTAATCGCTTGATTCGCAATTGATGTAACATAGACTATGAATTCATATTTTTTTACTATATTACTGAATTAGAAATTAATTAAATTAGAGAGATTTTTAAATGACACTACTCCGATATAACACCAAGTAATAGAGAAGAAAAAAAAGAGGAAAAAATATTATAAACGTACAATTTTTAATTCACGCAGCACACGATTAATTAAGGATTAATGTCGTCTCAGAATGACAATTCTCGAACGCGCTGTTGCGTTTATATCGTGTGGAAAGCAAGTGCATACAGATATTCTTCCGAACGATTCTCTCGACGATTTTATTAACGAAAATTCCGCGAAAACGCAAATATTTCTATTCATCTATGCGCGAAGATTGCTCAAAGAGAGATGAAAGTGACGTACTTGATGAAATTGCTGCATACAGTTAGAGACAACGAGATGATGCAAGTTGTATATTTTCTATTTTTCTAATTGTGGCTGTATTGCCACAATCCGTCGAAACTTCTTTTTAGCTGCACTTGCACATTTGCGAAAGTTGAGCTGTGCAATGCAATTTGTTATTCGTTCACGTAGTTCATTCGATACTTCATTATCGCACATATCGATCGCGAATAAAATTGTACGTAACAAGGTAACGGGCTCTTTTATAATAGCATTACAGTACAATATACAGTAACCGCATATGAGGACAGAATCAGGGATAATAAAGTAAGATGAGATAAAAAAAAACATATGGTGAGCGAACCATGGATGTCACCAAGCAGCTGGTGAAAAAAAAAAACAATTCTGAAGTCTCGAACTAGAATGGAAAATTGACTGTGTCATTAACGTATCATGAGACCTGTTAATATCGTTATGTAAGATAGTCAACGTATTTCATATCTCCGGTTTTAAAACAAAGTAATCGGAAAAAGGCACTTTTTTTCGCATTTCTTCACGTTTTTCAATGAGATCTTGCTCGACTACGAGAAATCTGTGTAGAGGTACCCATGCGTCACAATTATCCTGGATCGTGCGCTTTAATTATGTGTAGGTCAGAAGACAATTAAAGTACCTCGCGCAGTATAGAGTTAATTGTGAGTAATGTGCAAGTGACAATTGGCCTCGCAGAGCACTCTCACGCTATCACAACAGCAAGAATATATGTATGCATAATATGCACGTACTTTAAACTAGTCAGATACACCGCCTTCTTCCTACAGGTCTTTCTTTTATACTTTATCGTTCATCGAATATGAGATTATTGTACAAAGTTTAATAAGTAAAAAAGAACTAACGTATTGGTAAATCGTTAGTATTTTTCTTATATGAATCTTGTACTATTTAAAAAAAAAAGATTGACCTTTCAATGGATAGATAGGATATTTTTTTTTATTCGAACTTTTTATGATAACGTTTTATTAATATCTTCATTGGATGTTGTTACAAAAAATGCAACTTGAAAAAAAAGAGCTTTATTGAAGAATCGATGGCCTATTGTTGATACAAAGTATAATTGCGAAGGATTAATTGTGTGGTACCGAACTACAAATTTTAATAAGAAAAAAAATTTAGATGCAACTATAGGTTTAATTAAGAGCTAAATAATATCAATTATCACTGAAGTTACAGTAAGATAGCTATTTAAGAAAAATTGTAATATTTCGAATTGTAATACGAAAAGAAAGGCCTGAATCTTTATAGAACGCGGTTATTTTGCAAGTTCAAACCATTTCAAATCGATGAAAAGGAAAATCTATTGTTATTACTGTAAAATATAAGAAAAAAGGAAAATGATTTTGTTTGTACTTGCGAAATGATACTTACCGGCTTGCGCGATTGGATATTCGCGAAGCTCTCAGATCGAAAACGAGCTTATGTACCTATTAGTACGTTTATTGTTGTTACAATACATAACGACGTAATTTTATCAGATATTAAAGAAGTGCTACTTAGTCTATAATTAAGTCTGTGTAAACTTAAGGATTATGTCATCACGATGTTATGCAAATGCACGGTGCGTAGATCTGTTTGTTTTAGCTGCACTTATAGTTTCCGCGTCCGAAATGAAATAGTTATAAATATATTTATACATACAATCATATATTTAAATTTTCCAAAAGATGTCTCCTATAAAAAAGCTGCAGAATTTGTTAAAAAAAAAAGAAAAAAGAAAAAATTGAATACTGCTTGCTTTTTCATAGAGTATCTTTTTGGAGGGCCATTTCAAGATCAATTTAATATTTGTAAATAAAAATTATGAGGTTGATTTAATCTATATTATAAATATATAAAGTAAAAATTTATATATTTTTTTACTGATGCGGATGCTACATTTTAAATCAGCAATTTTGGTTCGAGATACTTTCATATTATTTGATATTTTAAAGGGTATCTGTAAAAAATTATTACAAATTCTTCAGACATTAATTAAAGCAATTATATATGTTTTATGAAATTGAAAACCGATGAAAAATACAATTAATACTACATATAAGATTAGCTAACGCTTAGAAATTTCTGAAAGTATTCTGTTGGTGATACTTGAGAATTCTAAGCGTCGTATAAGAGATAATTGAAAAAATTTTATACATTTATTCTACAGCATACATATACATAGAGATAGAAGGGATTTAGAATTGTTACGAATATTCTGAATCACAGAATATCTCTGTGACTCCGATGTATCTCTAACACGCACACGCATACGTACAGAAAAGTAGAGGGAATTTAGAACCATTAAAAATAACGAATTATAAGGTCCTAATCCATGTCTATAATATATATTAGAGATCCTATAACAAAGTCTGGTTGAGAAATTTTTTTAAAATAAAAGCAAAAAAAGATATTATATATACCGTTTCTTTTTATATATAATATCTCATTCTAACTTACTGAAGTTGATAAAAACGACAGACCAATCACAAGTTTCTCGAAGCTTATCCAGTGACCAGATTTTATTGATAGAGTTTCTACTAGCGTTTTCGAGTGCAGTGGGTTTGAACCAGTTTAGATCGGTTAACTCGAAAGTACCATTACCTCGTTTAATCAGAAATCAAAGTAGAGCATGTGATGTCATTAATCTGATCTGGATTGGGTCACTTCGAACTCACTGCATTAAAAAATTTTATGATACACAGCACAAATAGAATCGTTCACTTCGTTGATTGTAGAAAACGCCAAGAGTGAGTGACTTTTATCATCAATTTTAATTTAAGGATTTACAATAATCTTTTGTGAACATCTTCAATCAAAATTGTTGAGTTTAATGCGAAGGATCTGACTCGGTTAAAAAATATACAGGTTTTGATTTAGAAAGATTAAATTGATCTAAAAACGACTTTCAAAAAATCATTCTATTAAAAATCCAGTCATAATAAATAAATTTTTTCTTCAAAACTTTTTAACCTTAAATTTAAAATAAATTTTTAAATAAAATTTCAGCTGGCTTTGTTTGGTCGATTATCAAATTTCGTACATAAAATAAGAATCATATATATATATATATATATATATATATATATACACC